CCTCCAGTCTGAGACTTTGTATTTGTTGATCAATTTCTTACCTTTCCCCATCCTTCCTCCTTCCCTCAGCCTCTAATAAACACCTTTCTGCTCTGTGTTTCTATGAAATGGACTCTTAGATTCCACATGTGAGATCACACAATATTTATCTTTCTGTGCCTGGCTTATTTCACTTGGTATAATGTCCTCTAGTTCCATCTATGTTGCTGTGTATGACAGAATTTTCTTCTTTTTAAAGGCTGTACATTATTCCATTGTGTATAAATTACCTTTGAGCATATCTGTCAACAGACAAATGCAGATACAAGTCTAGTCTTTCACAAAAGAGTATAATCAAAAAGCGTCCCTTATTTATCTCTTGACTGCTCTTTCTACTCCTTTTATCCCTCTGAATGCCATCTTCTGTCCACAATATCAGGCCAAGTAGTATTTGCTTGCTTGCATTCTAATTGCTCTTTGCAAATCCAATAAGGATCTACTATCAATCCTTTACAGTGTGACTAAAATTCACATACATCAATGTATTTACTCTCTTGCATGTTTGCATTTAAAACCTTTTATCTCTTATTGTGGAATAAAACGACTGCCCTTTTAAAAAGGAAGGTATGGCAATCATTAGGTGAGGAGGATTGGAAGATGAGCAAGAGAAACTTGTTTGTAAGATATAGTGATATAACAGAGCTATCCATGATGATAAAACTGCTATAGTGTTTTATCTTTTTTTTCATTTTTTGAAGTCAAGGGCAGGAGATTAAAAAAGAGGTTATGTCTGGTATTATCATTTTTTTCCCTTATCTTTTTAACCCTAAGACTTGTAGATGTCAGGAATCAGACCATTTTCTGTGCCTATAGCTTGGGTACCCTGCTTTCTCCCCTTTATCAACACAATGGCATAGCCTAGGGACTCAGACTTTCAGCTGCCTCAAGTCACTCCAAAACCTCTCAAATAGACCAGGCAGCAGAGGCAGGGAATGTAGAGCAGCTGCTGAAGGAAAAGAATAGGAGACGGCTGGTGTGATGTCCTTTCCCAGTCACATATGATTACATGAAAAACAACATTCATTGTGATTGAGATTTCAGTTTTGCACCCTGTCAATTTGCTACTAAAGCAATGTGGTACTAAAGGCATTCCTTTTGGGTGGTAAGATGATGAAAGAGAGGAGTGGTCACTAAGGAAGAACCTTAGTTTTTAGGGCACAAGAAGATACCTGCATGAGGTTTATATATATGCGTGATCTTCACAATGATGACTGAAATGCTGTATAATGCTAAGGAAAATTTATTACACGAAGAAAAAAAATTAAACTAAAAGTAAAACTATGCTTTGGCTATGTAAAAGCAATACTAATCAAAATAAATTATGTAGATTGCTTTACATTTATGCCTAATTACCAGGCAGCACAATAATGATTACATCATTATTTTTGTCAGATTGACTTTGCTATCAATTTAATTACAGCTGTAAATTATAAATACTCAACCCTTGTAATTTCCTGTTTTTAAACAATTATTTACTGAGCCCCTTCTACATGCCAAGCATCAAATTATATAGTGGGAATAAAAACAATAAAACAATCCCTGCTCCCATGGGGCTTAAAGTCTTGTTGAAGAGAGAGACAAGTATTAGGCAAATGTTTAGCAGAGGAACAGACAATAAATATATTTTTAAAAGAAGGTAAGGACATGAGAGGACTATCCATTCCAGGCCTAAGAAGTCAGGTAAGGCTTCAATAAAGAGATGTCAGAGATGATTCCTAAAGAACTAGTAGAGTTAGCCAGGAGAAAGGGGAGGGTAAATTAGAAGAAGAAATCTCAAGCAGAAGGAAGAAATGCACTGGCCTCAGAAATGAGACACTGTATGGAGTGTTTGAGAAACTGCTCAGTCGGAACACAGTGCTGTAAGACTCCTGAGGCTAGAAAGTAAGTAGGAGCCAGACTGACAGAGGACTTGACTATTATACTAAGTGAATGAAATCTTGCCTGTAATAGGGAACCACTGCAGGATTTCAGAGGGATAACCACATGATGGGATTTACATTTCAGATGTACCACTTTGACTTCACTGTGGAGAGTGGAGTAGTGAAGCTCAACACTGGAGGACAGTTAGAAGCCAGTTGAACTCATTTAGGTGACAGATGCTGGTGGCTTAGGCTAGGCTATTCAGGAAGGAGAGCATTGGATGGACTTGAGAGATACGTAACGAGTACAACTGAGACGTCTTAGTGATTAATTGAATAGAAGAGAAAGAGGGAAGTTGGAGATGGATTTCTGAGTTAGGCAAATGCATGGTGGTGTGGTATCTATTAGGATAAAAAAGAGATAAGAGGCCAGGTGGGGTTTCTGTTTTGAATTTTTGTTTTGATGTTTGGGGGGGAACTAGAAGAGCATTAGAAATTATGAGTCTTCTCTTGACTAGTTGGGTTTTATGTGTCTGGGGATCTCTGATAGGTAATTGAATACATAGGTCTGAGGCTAAGGACAAAGGTCTGAGCTTAGACACATATTGGGGAGATTGCATTTTATATCATTTGAAGCCATCAGATAGAGAAAAGTATCAATATCAGTAGCCTAAGGAAACCCAAAATTTGTGGGATGAGCTGATTGAGGACAAATAAAGAAAAATATGAAGAACAAGTAACAAAAGAAGGAAGGAGGAAACCAGGAAAGCATATGATCGCAAATGTCAAGGGAAGAGAATATTTTAAGTGGGAGAAAGCAGTCAACAAAGCCAAGTGCAGCAGAGAGTATAAACTGGTATAGTCTTTTTGGAGAACAGTTCAACACAACTATTAAAGTGTTTGATCCTGAATTCCACGTCTCAATATTTAACCATGAAAAATGTGAGTGCACCTATCCAATGAGACAAATTAAAGGACAGTTCACAAAAGTAAAAAAAAAAGAAACGAAGAATGTAAATATCCAAAAATAGAGAATTAAATAGACCATAATAGACTGATTTTCTTGACCATTTCACAGAACTTAAAGAGATCAAAGTAGATTTACATGGGAAAGACTAAGAAATATTAAGTACAAAAAAGAGCAAGTTACAGAACAATATAGACATAATAGTAGCAGTTATTTTTTAATTTATTTTTCTAT